GGATGGGGAAAGTAGTAGAATGATGTACTGATTTCTGTGGCTGTGACAACTGTGAGAACCAGACTGTAAGTTTAACCGGCAACCAGGAACCGGAGATGATGAGGAAGATCAAGGATCGGTAGGGGACGCCGAAGAAGATGTCTCAGAAGATTGACTTTTCCAATTTATCGACTAAACTTGTTGTACTATAAGTTATAATATTGTACTAATTATTGTACTATAAGTTATGATATATATAGGACTATTTTGATAGCTTCGGTTGATTTGGGGACATGCTGTAAGTTAATTTTTTGTACAGTGCATTAGACTTGTTACTCTTCCTGGACGATTGTGATACAATAGTTCTGTTAAAGGACAAATTATATTCTATTGTTTGTATTCAATCAAATCCTATGTGTATGATTCTTTATCGAGTATCTTCGGTTTGACGAGTTCGTAAAGCTTCATAATCAATACTTGTTTAAATTTAAACAGTAACGCGTATGGTTATTAATGATCGATCTATAACACTTTTTAGGGATGAATCATGCTTCTGAGTGTTTAAATAACACCAGAATTCGATCGGGCATCCAAAAAAAACCCAGAAAGCATACCTAACATGCCATATGTCAGAAAACACCGAAATTTTGGTACGCGACTGAGCTTAATTGAGCTTAATTGGTCAATTAAGCATTAACCGTTCAATTTATGAATAAACTGACTGTTGGAATCGACTCCCCGCCCTAAAATACCCCTAGTTACATGTATAACATGACTATAAAGTGTTCAGGTAAGATTTACACAATTTTCCCATAATCGCGAAAATCGGAAAAAGGGCGTGGCCCATAAAAAAGTTTCCGACCAACAAAAATTTTGTAACTTTTTTTTAGGTTTTTTATGGACCAATACCAACACATTAGTGAAGAATCCAGCATGTTTCACTCGATTTCCCGGTAGAGTGCACTTTATGACTGGACTAAATTGGGATACCCCCATGGGATAAACACCACACCCCCACCCCCACCCCAAATGCCCTCAGTGGTCAGTATTTTATGTGTTCTTTTATCTGAAAGCATTCTCATCTCTGCTTGATATGATTTACAGTTGCCTTTACATATTCTGAGCTCATTTATAGCCGAATTTGCATTTACAGATGTTGGTGAGAGTGGTGTGGAGAGAAAATTGCATCAGACGCATAGAAATCTGATTGCATTGTGCCTACGCTCATATAGAGGCTTGATCAGCAACCCTGTACATTTGCTATCTTTGGTTTTGTCCAAGAAAGAACCAATGATAGACGAAGTGAGTGGAGAGACAGAAGTACAACCATGGCAATGATATGAGCCAAGGGGTATCAACTATTCCTCCTGGTGTATCAATTCATTTTAGCATAAATAATTTTAGTTTGTATATTTTATACATTGTTCTTAACTATATAGTGTCGTATTACAATTTAAGTTTTAATGAGACTAGGTATAAGTTTATGATATCAGATGATATAGTACATGACATTTTACAAAGGTGTTATAGATACCATATGCTAGAGGTTTTTTCTGCAAAATAACCGAACGAAGAGATGTACATCATTTAATTTCTGACCTTCACGAGATGAGCTTGGATTTTTACTCTTTCAAAAAATTACCAACTATCTAGTGAATAAAGTTTGTATCTACGTACCACGTGGAAGTCCACACAATTTTAAAGACATTTTAATGGCAATTTTACATTGGCAAGTAAACAATGATTTGCTGACAAGCATAACTTCCAGACATTGTCTTGAATTTGGTGCTGAAAGTCATCATATCACGTGAAGAAACCTGGTGCAAGTACATTCACTTTTACTTTGACAGCCGTGAAATGGGATAAACATTATTTTAATCATTATTGCATATGTTTTATTATTGATATTCTGAATCACATCTGTGATATCTGTCAATTTGTAAATTTCAGCGTGTATATGATGATATTTGCAAACGCGAATATGGTTGATAGATGCAAATCAGGGATGAATAATGACATAATATGTCATTATTCACCCCTGTTGCATATGTTTGAGTGAACTGGAGTATTTGCTATTCTTTGCGGGCAAAGAAAAGAGTCACGTCGTAGTTTGTTGCTCGTTGATCATCTTCTATAACAGCAAACCAGTTGGCTAGTATTTAATTAGCAAACTGTAGTATAAATTGGGTTTATTATTCAGTTTAAGTATATAAGTAACTTACTTTGCAGCACACCTGTAGGGACATATGACAAAAGATATTATATTTCTTATATAAGTGTCAGTCTTTGCCGTGTCTTTTTCTCTTCTCTTTTCCGACAAAAAACGTGCAGTGTATTCGGCGTTGTGAGCTGCTGCAATTCTTGTTCCGCTGTACAGTTTAGTACTGGTGTAATTACCATTGACAGTCTTCGATGCTAGCATGTCCACTTCGTGATTTGACAAGAAATTACAGGTTTCATTTGTTCTTACAGAGTAGTGCGAGCGCTTCCGTGTTTGAATGACGTCGAATGTTTTCGGTTTCTCGGCTGGTACTGAAAATTGTGTTAAATGTGAGCATGCTGTTTTAGACGAATTGGTCTGTAAAATTACATGCGGTTTTTATATATACGTTAGTCTGGTTTATGATATATGTGTAAATGGGTGCAGCACTGAGATAATAATTTATTGTAGAATATTTATTAAAACGGTATTGTTTTGATGCCTTAATGAAAATTTAACAAGGGAAATGAGCCTGCAAATTATGCCAATAAACCCTGTTTATGGTAACATTCCTGTGCAATCGAGTACAATTATTACTATGACGCACCACCAGCAGTATCATTTAAAGCAAGAAACCTTCCTTGTGTATAATATTGACATTTTAACACCGCTAAATTATGTTATAGGCTGCACTCTATTACTGCAACCTAATCATAGCTTGTAGCAGAAATATCTATATATAACATATTATCAAGAGCTAATAGGTAGTATACATAGATCTTTCAATATCTGCCTAGATGTAGTTATAGATATTTTCCTGTTGTAAATGTCAGTAATGACGGAATTAATAATGAGTAATTATTAATGTGTAATATTATTATTATTAATATTATCAATAATCAATCAATAACAATCAATTATTATGAATATTATAATTATAATATTGAATATTATGATTTTGTTTTTACAGAATGTGTAATATGAGGACTATTACATCTGGGGTACGGTAAATTCCCTATATAAATAGCATATGGGTGCAGCTCCAACATCCGCAGATGTAATAGTCCTCATATTACACATTCTGTAAAAACAATCATAATAACTTGGATGCAGTAACCAAGGCTGTATCTATCTCGTGTGGGGGGGGGGGGGACAGTTCCCACAGATATCATAATGTACATACATGTAGTATACGTTATTCTTACTCGTCAAGTCCACAACAGAAGCATACTAGGAAGCAACGTCAATCAGTCGATAGATCTAATCAAAAAAAGATAGGACATGATTATCTGTCTGCGACCGAACTAATGGTAATGTGTTTACAAGCGTTAGCGGTGCCAATAAAAAGCAATGCGCACTTTTTGTAGATTTTACTACGCCAAACACGAGTCATACGAAACGTGTCAAAGTAACGATTTGTGTTTTACGAGAATGACACAGCTTGTTGAACCAAATGAGAGAGTGATAGTACCTTCGAAGTGGTAGAAGAAGAGAAAGAAGTGGTAGAAAAAGCGTAAAGGGACGAAGTGACAGCAGATTCAAATCAAAGGGACAAGAATCTTAATCGAGCCATTGAAAACGTTACAAGATTAGGTCGTGTATCTAGAAAACCTAGGAGTTTTAGTTTTAAATTCTTGTAAACTGCATGTTACAATATGTACAGTTGTGTACTATGTATGTAGTGACCTCGAGCCGGCCTCAACCCGAGTCCTCGAGTCCGAGTCCGAGTCCGAGTCATTGCACTCCGAGGCCAAGACTGAGACCGAGACCAAGGAAAACGGTCTCGAGGACAAGACCGGCCTCGAGACCTACAACACTGATAGCATCATGGTAGGAAAAGCCATCACTGTGCCGAAATTGGAGGTCACATGTCAAAGGGCAGTGGGGGAAAGGTCAGATATCAGACATTTTCTGAGGACATGGCCTAATGGACAGAGTAAAAAACTTTTTTGTTTCAGCGCTGACTTACCATTTTTATCACTTTATTGAAAGGACCATGAAATGTGCTTTCGACTGATGTGCGAAGAGTAAGTGTCGGATAACCTTTTGACCCTCAAGAGGAGGGTTAAACATGGATTCCTGAACTACCTCAATGATGTCACAGTGTTCTCATATTCATGGCACATCCATAACCTAGAAAGCCAATATGCCTGGATAGCCCAACGGGTACAGCACAGGATTATGGCTCAAAGGTCCTTGGATTGAAACCCATCAGATTTTTTATTATTTACCTGTTTTCTGTATTTTTCTATCTTTATCCATTTAACTATTTTCATCCAATTAATGCAAATATTTACATGATTTATTCACAACAATTTAATAACAAAAAATAATTTTTACAACAATTAATTTTTATTTTAAATAGGGTTAGGGTTAGGGTCACAATGCACCATAAAACAGGAGTTTTAGGCACGCAATTTGTATCAACCAATGGGATTTGGGAGGTATGCAGAATGCAGAAGGTGGCTGAAATGATGTGTACGCAACTGCGTATCTGCATATCTGTGTCTAACAAAGGTGTCACTATGCACGACTTAAATGTTACGTTTATAACCGTAGCAACAGACCTCAGATGAGCCCAGACGCTCTGCGGCTCTTGTTTTATTGTATGGTGCATGTGATGAAGGTATTTTGTTGGCTTAGTTAATAATTCAGGCTTTATAGTAAAGTATCATATTGCTATTGTAGTTTTGAAAGATTCCTCTTGTGTTAATTTCACTATACCTCAAGCTATATTACACGTATCTACGATAATTGGAGTGAGAATGATTTCTTCAAACTGTGAGGTTTTATTCAGAAACTTATTTGATGCTTGGTTTAGCCGAGGCCTGCTGTTTGGTGTCTGGAATTCGCACACATCGGTTGGCAACATCCTGGGCTCCTTGATAGCTGGAGTGTGGGTGGAGACCAACTGGGCCCTATCGTTTATTGTACCTGGTTTGATCATCATCGGCCTTGGCATTCTGGTCTTCTTCTTCCTAGTCACAGGTAATGACTAGTATCAATGGAAATATGCACCAGTACAAAAGTTGAAATTATATGATGTGTGGTTCAGAGAATGTGGCATACAGAATATATATAGTAATGTAATAACGTTATCTTGATTTGATTGCGCCCCATGTTGTTTTCTGCAACACGCTTTGCTTTCTAAAACTTCAATTTGATTGGTGGTGGAACCAAGTGACATGCAAAGTAATCCTGAAACATGCTGCTGATGGTCTATAAGTACAGTTTAGTATGTGTTTTAGTGAATGGATACAAACACAAGTTAGTTGCAGTTGCGAAAGCAGAATCGGTACTGTGGTAATGAATTTGCTGTTTCAATATTTTCTAGAGGTAGCGAAAAGGTGTGTTGTTTAATGTAGCACTCTGAAACCTGCTGAAACCTTTGACATAATTTACTCTAATCTCCACCATTCAGGTTATACCATCTACAGCAGTTGCATTAACACTTGTTCCTTCTCTTTATTCTGAGTAAAAATGTGAGGAATTGACCCGTCTAGCCAGTAGGTGGTGCAACATTCCCGTCTGTACTGTAAGTGCAAGTGAGAACACTCATCAGAGAAGACTCAAGAGTTGTTTTTAATTTTCAGATCCAACGCATGTAGGGTGTTCTGCCCCAGACTACCATGGCGATGTATGTGTAATGTATTTGTATGACATTGATAATACATATATAGTCTAGATCTGTGTACACTGTATTTAACTACAGTGTGTAGCCCTATTGCTCACATTAAATGTTACTGATGTGAGTGAGCTTAATTATGCATTTTAAATAAGGACATATGAGCTAAAGCAATTAATGCTAGTAAAGTCTCACCGGGACATGGTGCTGCCATATAAGGTAATGGTAGACGGATGTACACATGCACGCTCTTACACATGTATGCACATACACATTCATGCGTGCATTTGCATATGCATACAATACCAGCAGGTAGTGAGATTATTAAAGGGTTCCTACAGTGTGATTGTGTTGCTTTTCCGTTGCAGCTGGTGGGCGGTCGTCGAACGATGAAGCCTGTGTTTGCTTCTTCACATACCAAACGTGATGTCATCACAACACCTGAGGTATTTACTCGGTCATTCGTTGTGACGTAGCAGTGTGATGGTAATTTTGAACTTAGAGATACTATAGGATTGGAGGTATTAGTGATGGGATTGGATAATACTATTGAAGGTACATGTCAACTGAGATTTGCCATAGCTCGGATGTATGTCAACACTGATAAATCCTAGCTGTGAACGAAAGTTTCGAGGGGAAGAAAGAAAAGTTCTGCATCGTTCCTGAATAAGAACTGGAATCTTGTCCTACTTTTCAGAGAAACATGTTACTGAAATCACTTTTATCTCATTATAATGATATTGTAAGTTTGCTGGGAGAATTGGTGCATGACATGTTTTTCAATAAAATATACTATCATGCCTCTTTAATGACCCAGGTTTATTCGTGAGGCTTGTCTACTAAGGAAAAAATCTGTTAAAAGTGATTATTGTAACATGTGGTGGAAGGAAATGGTACATTAGTAGAGTTATGTAACATGGTGCTTATGGACACAGTTCTTTCTTAATAGTTGCCATACCACACTGACCTGACGTTTGCTTCCCTCTTCCATTCCATCACTATCATACTAACGATTTTCCTGGGTTCGTTTACTGTTTTACCAACAACCGAACAAGTTTCTATTTTGGATAATAATATACTTAATTACCATTTTACAGTATTGATTAATAAATACTTTTTATTGCCCATTAAATGAAAATCCATTCATTTTAATTAAGTCCACCTTACAAGAAGTATGGCGGTACGTTACAGTGTGGTTATATGATCATTTGATAACTTGTAACTTTAATTGTAGCAATGCATTTTCCTGACAACAACAGCCATTTCTTATTTCAGGTGGTAGATGATGAAAACTACTCTGAAGAAGAGTCACTGCTGGTTCCCAACCATAACATGGACAGCCTGAATGCAATACCAGACAGCAGTTTAGATGATTTAGCACCTATTAGCTTTATGCGGGCATTGCGCATACAGGGTGTCATTGAGTATTCGCTGTGCCTCTTCCAAGTGAAACTGGTTGGCTATACGTTACTGTACTGGCTGCCTATGTACATTCAGAATACTGGTGAGTAAATCATGCTTTCATTCGCACCACAGAATAAAAAACGTTGCGGTATCAAGTAGCTATTTCTGGGGTTCTTCATAGTGTTCTGCACATAAATTTGTGATGTAAAATTTGAAAAAGCCCGAATAGGTCCACTGTAAAACTAACTGCAAATGAAGTAACTAATTGGTTACTTTCCAGTATTTAGAATGTTTGGCTGTTATGGCACGATAATGTTTCATAAAAATGAGTTTTAACTGCCACTGAATGAAGCAGTATTATATCTTAATCTATAGGTCTTTGATTTTATAGCTGGTTACAGTGCATCTGAGTCGGCTGATCTATCTACCTTTTTTGACATTGGAGGCATTGTTGGTACGTACAGTGAGAGAACATTTGGTAATTGGGTAAATATGTTGAAAGTTTAAAAAGTATATGGACCTACATAAACAAGAAACCATTCTGAACACTGAAAGGCAATCCTTTAAAGGCTCACAATGCGCATCCAAACGCTAATTTCTCCAGTACTAGACTAGCAAATACTTCGTGTCATGCATAATCATACTATACCTTATGGCAAAATAAACTCTAGTTCCTCCCATTTCACTGCGCGTTGTCTTATAAAAGGTATTTTGAAAATACCTCCAATGTTGTTGAAATTCTCCGATGTTGTTGACAGTTTCCCCAATCCCCAAGCAACCGTGCAGCGGTGCTGCGGTAGAGCGGTACGGGCGCAGCAAAGATAAAAACATGTGACGTCACGTCACCACTTCGAGGCTATTTTGTTTGGCAAACAGTCGACGTTTGCGCCAGAATGCCAGTTTTCTCACCTCTTTCTTGTGGGTTTTAAGCAAACGCGCAGTGAAATGGGAGCAACTAGAGTTTATTTTGTCATAAGGTAGTGTGATTATGCATGACACGAAGTACAGTGATACATAACGCAACACAGTAATTTAGATAATACTTACAAGCATAACATTTATTAATTAATATCTCTCCACCACAGCACACTTCAATCTCAACACCCCAATCGTTATAAATTCGTCATGGCTTCTAAAGATTACCCAGCGCTTGCCTACAAGCGCTGTTGCTACCGTTGCGAACAGCTACGTCCCGCTTAATCCATCCCCGCAACACATATACTACTAACCAGCAATACTATCGCGACCGTACTCTATATTATTTACTCTCACGACAATCTACACAGTCTGTACAATCAAAACTAACATACCAAGAAAAACCATAGTTACGTATACGTGTCGTCTCGTTTGAGCCGTCTCGGCCCGCCTCGTCACGGCTGGTCCTAGCACACTCTCTATCTCTTACTCTGTTAAACTCAGCCTACTTATGCTGCCCAAGTCCGCGCGCGACCCGTGCTTCTGGGTCGAAGTGTGTATCGGCCTCCTCTCCCATCTGCCTATTATTACCCTCCTTTGTTTCGCTTCTAGTTCTACTAGGTCACTCATGTCATGCTATTTGCGACGCTCGTTTGTACTGTCCGGTGCCGGTCTGTTATGTAACGGCTGTTCCTGCCGGTACCGTTCGTACTCGTCCTAGGTTACACGTGCCCCTTCCTTTGAAGTGACGTACCTCCGGTACGTCTCTTCTCTCGTGTCCTCACGAGACCTTTCCCGCTCAGCTCCCTCCGGCGTTGAAAGAAATAGGCCCTTGCGTTGTGTCTTATGATGTTATTTGTATAGTATTTCCACCTATTCCTCTCAAAGCGGTGCTCGCTGCTATCTCCTTCTCGGCTGCCGTTTCTGTCCTGTATATTGCTGTGGTTGTAGCGATTGTTCCTGTGCTGTGTTAGTCCAGGTCGTATAGGTGTGTGAGACGCTGACTGTTTCATATCTTGATTTCCCCCCTCCGAGTGGCTCTACCGTTCTTATGTACACTTTCGTTCTCTCTTTTCTATCATCATACTTCTTCTGTTCTCTCGTTCTATCTTCGTGTTACGCGTTATATCTTCGCGTCACGTTGCGTTGTTTCCCCTTTCCCCTTTCTCTGCTTCCCTGTCTTCTTCTCTCGTCTCTTAGTTCTTTGTGTTCGAAGGAGTGCGTGGCTTCCCCCAGGCGAGCCCTCACCTGTAGAAAACCCCCTCGGTGTATGAGGGTACATACGCGACTCGTTCGATTCTCACCTGAACTATGTTCGTCTGTCTCGTTATTTGTCGTTTTGTCCCGTTCGCAACGGTCGGCATGATCAGTCCTTTCCGTTTTACAATCGGGTCGTGTCCTTGTCGTTATCGTCTTCCCTGTCCCCCTCGGCGTCCGTACACCTCCGTTTTGGCAGCACTGTTTCTTCCGAGTATGTTTCGTCCGAACATCTCCTGTGCTGATCCGTGCTCTCTCTCTTTCTGGAAGCTCCTGAATCCCGCTGGATTTCAGCCTCCTGTGTCATCTCCGGTGGGTCCGTTGTGTAACCAGTTGATTCGCTGCATGGCCTGTCTACACGCCCCTGCCTCCGGTGACGTTCCTCCCCTTCCTACCGTGCCGCGTTGATCCGAGTTGCCTTTCTGCTCGTGATCGTGCTGTGACGCCCGTGATTCCTCGTCGCCACTGTATTCCGGCGTTGTTCCTCTCCCCCGCCGCTGTATGTTTATCAGCGGCGTTTCGTCGTCCGATGACCACTCTCCGTCGCCGTCGCTTGGTTGATAGGTATGCTTTGCCCGCCTATCAAATCTTCGTCTCGTGTTTCTTTCTTCTTCGCTTGCTCCCCATTCGCCTTTTCTCCTCTTCTAATATTCATTATTTCAAAATACATAATATGTTGACCACATGTGCATATCCACAGGAAATACATCCAACTTGCACAGTAACACACTAATAAAATTATACAATATAGAGCAAAAGCACTTCTCACTGCTGCTGGACTACCGACCATGTGCAAACAGTCGCATATCACTACATATCGTCTCTGTCTAGAACTAACTGACAACATTTGTTCGCGAAGAAATCCCTAGGTGCATTCGTGCGAGTACGTTCACTCCCTGTTCCGCGTTCTCGCCTGTCGGCCCCTATTCGCCCGGTGACCACAATACGTCACGTCTCCTCAAGTTCATGAGTTGTGGCAAATGCTATTCTTGGCACACCCCGCATGCTACACTGTCGTCACTCAACCTTGATGAGGCAAAGTACGTAACCCCCCCGGTAGCATATATTAGTGAGGGATATCGGGACCGAGGTATGAGCGGTTGAATGAACGTACTTTCACTATCCACCTTCACGCGCAAATACATTTCAACAAGAACTCCTGACGAATCCGTACACACTAGTAGCCGTGACACAGTCAATGAAGTGAAGTAACCCGAGATGCCGTACCACTGATACACCGAAGTGATTTGATTGGGTGGGGCATTCTCTGGTTGGAAATCACGGCTCTACGGCTAATCAGCTTTATCAAACCGAAAAGAACTGTACCATCAGCTCTATATAAGTTACAAACCAGTTACAACATGCTGGCTATTTGGTTTAAAAATTTATCGAGATCTGCTAGTTATCACATTGATTTCGCCAGCATTAACACCAGTAGGTACTCCAGCATAGAAATCATCCACATTTAAACATCAAAGGAAATGTCGCGGCCTGATAACAGGATAAGAAATTCGAGACACACGTTCGTTGCCTTCCTCTCTCCCGCTCTCTCTCCTCTTCCTCTCTTTCTCTCACATACATATCCTCGCGCTCCTCCTCTCTCCCTCCTCTCGTCTCTCTTCATCTCCTCCTCTCTCTCTCTCTCCTCTGCCAGCTCTTCCCTGGCCACAGTGAAGCCAGATAGATCGCACGCTCTCTCGTGCTTTCTCAGTCGAGATAGGTGATACTTTGCTGAAGTCTCTCTCCTCGCAATCGCGTCTCTCGCCTCCTCGCACTCCTCCGCTGCTCTCTCTCTCTCCTCTCTCTCTGTCTCTCTCCCTCTCTCTCTCGCTCTCTCGCTCGTCTCTTCTCTCTCTCATCGATCACGCCGCTCTGCTCACTTTCTCTCTGCTCTCCTTTAATCGATCGACGCCTCTCCTTCCCTTGCTGTGGCGGCTATTTACCTCCATTGGCCCTCTCTTTCCGGCATCAAGTGGCTACCTCTCTGTCTAGTCTCTCTTCCTTCTCGCTACTATTTGCTGGCTGCTTGGAGGTAACCGGGTTCTGTGCTACTTAGTTTCCCCTTCTAATTCGCCCTTCTTAGGCCAATCCAGTCATATAAAACGATTCCACTAAAATCCCCTGCATCCCCGTGCGTGTCCTATCTCCCCCGGTAAGCCGTACGATACACCCTGCGCGATGCGTTCCTCGAAATCCTGGACTCGATCTCGCTTCGCCGCTCTGCGCGATCCTTTCAAATCCTTACTCGGCAGCTAGTCGTTCGAACTGATCCCGGGCGAATCTCACCTCAATCAAGTCTCATGCAGACTTCCCACCCGTATCGCCGGCGTTCCCCCTTGTTTGTCGGATTGCAAAAGTCGTAAGCCACCCCACCGCCGTCGTCATCGAAGAGCAGCACCTCTTTTAATCCGCGTTCTGGCCCCGCAGCCGAGCGCCTATTCCTCCAACTGTTCTCATATTCGCCCTAAATTAATGCTATCTACTTCGCATCCGCCCACGTAAATTTTCCGTATCATGCGCCTCGTATCCCCTGTAGTGTTCATATTTCATCTCTAATCTCTCTTACCAACTGGCCTCAGTGCTTGTCCTATAAACTGAGCAATATCCACATATTTATCCGCTTGCGCCCATCGTACGGCATAGCATTCTAGCGTCCCCCAACAATAGTTACCCTCAAACCGCTTACTACGCCGTTTACGCTGCCCTGCCGATTTCTGAAACGGAATGTGCATTAACTGCTTGAATAAACAAACTCGGATTAGATCAGCTCATCGCGTTCAGCGGCTACGTACTCACGTGACGCCAATTTTATATCTAAGGTCACTGCGGCATCACAATTTATGTCACCGCGTGCTTCTTTAATTAAGCCCCGCGCGACGGCGTGATCGTATTTATGTTTTAGCACCTTGCGAAGGAACAAACCCGCTCGAGGATGTAAAAGCCAGTCAGTGATACATAACGCAACACAGTAATTTAGATAATACTTACAAGCATAACATTTATTAATTAATATCTCTCCACCACAGCACACTTCAATCTCACGCGTAACAACACGGTGCTGCGGCAGAGACAGGGTAACGCGTACACAGCACGGTGCTGGCAGAGACAGGGTAACGCGTAACAGCACGGTGCTGCGCGGCAGCAAGACAGGGTACGACGCGTAAGCACACAGTGCTGCGGGCAGAGAACAGGGTAACGCGTAAGCAGCACGGTGCTCGCGGCAGAGACAGGGTAAACGCGCGTACAGCACGCGGTGCTGGCGGCAGAGACAGGGTAAACGCG